ACCGGATCGGGGGAGGGGGGAGCAAAGTGGGACAAATGTCCCGAGCCCCCCACATTTAGGGGCCCCCACAATTCTGGGTCATACTAATATTTTATCCCGGACGGAGCCAACCAGTACCTGGGCGGAGGGGGCGAGGATTGGGGCAATGGGCAGTAAGGGATATTGGGGGCCCCAAGCACTCAAGGGGGCGGAGTACATACTAGTACGATCCGCGGTCAGTACGAACAATTTGAACAAACAATGGGGGCCCCCGCACAGGTGGTATGTCCCCCCCCCCCCCACAAGGTTAATCCGGCACTGCTTTACCCACTGAGCCACCGAGGCTGCATTTGTCACCGATGCTATAATTATAGGGAACACAATTAGGAGAGGGCGTTCTAGACCATATCTTTAGAAAGGTGAAATAACTGAATTTTAGATCAATGTTAACGAGTGAAATGTATTTAACGATCGACCAATAAGCCTCGGTCTTTTTTTAATCTGTAAAACATAGACAGAATACGGATCTAATAAAAACATTTAATCTATAATCAATTGTCCTTAATCTCCTGAAACTACATAAACACATGGAATTGGTGTATTAAGATTCTTATCTTAAAATATTGGTATAAACCACTCGATACGACATTGTGTTTTCCTTGCTTCATACAAATAAAGCTAGTGTAAACATCTTATCACTGAATCAAAAGAAAGTTTGTTTTTTTTTTATCGAATTAAGGAATCTATAAAATTACTTTTCAATTGGTTAACAATACTCTCTAAAAACGTAAGATTAAGGCACATTTTATTGGATGTTTATCTCAAATTATCTCACAATTTAATACATCAAAGTTATCTATTATCTATGGGGGGTTGGATGGCTGAATGGTTAGCGTGCGCGCGCTGTATCATAAAGTCTGTCATTGAGTCGACTGGCGTGGTTTCGAATCCCCGGTTGTACGTGACAAGGAGTAGGATCGCCTGTCCAACCTCGTGGGGTTTCTCCGGGTCGTCCGGTTTCCTCCCACTGCTAAAGTCCCCCATGCGCAAGAGAATTATTGAAATAAAATGAAACCATATGTTAGTCCCGAAATGACCTAGTTTGTGTCGAGTGGACGTTAAACCCTATTTCTCTCTCTCTCTCTATTATCTATGATCACCGATTCAAACAATAAGCAGAAACAGATTAGTGTTGTTAACGGTTATTGATTATCAGGTATTATTATTATCCGATTATAAACAGGAACTGCTTACTGACATATAAGAAACAACTAAATATCAACAAAAGAATTTTATAGAAAAACAAGAAGTATTATCCTATTTTGCTACGTTTGAACGAATTATTAGTTCAAGTAAAAAGACATCGCTTAGGGCAATTTAAATGCATTTAAGGATAACCACATATATATTAAAACGTTATTATAATTGAATGTGCAGAAAGGCTCTTTTGATTTCGACGCACAATTATAGGCTATACTGAAAGAAAGGGTTCTAAAAATCGGCCCAACCTATCTCATGCACCATCAAACTTGAATATTTTAAAAGAAGAGATTTGGTATGAGATTAATTTGAGATTTGACACAAACTTTGGTTCTGACATTCAACTATGATGGAAGATGTTTTTGGATCTTAAACAAAGTAAATCGCCAATCAAGATCCTCCATGAAATGTTTAACTATATCTATTTGAATCACATTCCTGTATCCAATTCCCTATTGAAAGAATCAATCTGATTAAAACACAGATCTTATTTCGTTTCGTTTTTTATACTTTCGATGGCCTCTACTACATGAAGATCTAACCTGTTGCAGTGGGGGGTCGCGTCAGGGTTCACACGAGCAGCCTTTGACCCTATGACGTCAGACATTTGATTAACCAATCAGCGTTGATGTTTCTAGTGGGATACCCACAGTTCCGTGCATCGCACGCCAACAACTCTCTGTAACAGACCGTTTCATTGGCTAATCCCTCACATCAACCAAAACACCCCTTCCAGATCCTAAGACAAGTAAAACGAATTTTTGAACTATTAAAAAGAAACGAAATAAGATCTGTGTTTTAATCAGTTTAGAAAAAAAGAACTGTCTTTGAATTTTTGGGATATGACACATATTGTTAGGTGATGGTGAGATTGAAACTTGTAGATACGCATCAATATTTTGATTTCTCACACTGTCATCCTTCACATACAAACGGAAATATCTCATCATGGTCTGGCGCTAAGATTCTGCACACAAGGTACAAATGTTAAAACAAAACGTGAATACGAACTGAACTAAAGGTATCAATTACCGTTGGTCACTATATAGAACCCTGTCCAAATGTTACATAATGGCAGTTGTTACCGTGCTATCTTGACACATGTAAGCAGAAGTGATTTAAATATCTTTATTTCAGCCATCGACATCCAGTGTTACGTAATATCCTTTGTCTTGTAAAGCCATCGTACTGAACGCTTAGCCTGGAAATAGCCAGGTGTGTAATCTTGTGAAAAGGAGATAGAGAGAGAGAGTGAGAGAAGTGGGGTTTAACGTCCACTCGACACAAACTAGGTCATTTCGGGACTAACATATGGTTTAATTTTATTTCAATAATTCGCTTGTGCGTAGGGGTCTTTAGCAGTGGGAGAAAACCGGGGGACCCGGAGAAAACCCACGAGATTGGACAGGCGACCCTACTCCTTGTCACGTACAACCGGGGATTCGAAACCACGCCAGTTGACTCAATGACAGGCCGTATGATACAGCACGCACGTGCTAACCATTCGGCCATCCCCCCCCCCCCAAAAGGAGATAGACAAGAGAAGGCCATGGGCTCCTTGGGTTAAGGCTAGAACAAGGAGTTGGCACCCAATGGTGTCAAGCCAAGCTATCACCATGGATCCTCAACACAAGCTAATTACAGAGTATTAAGTATTGTACATGATATGTTTGAAGAACAATAAAAGTATCATCTGAAGTTAAACCAGTGCTATCATACAAATCCGATTCAAAGAACCTAAAAGTGTTACACAAAACCATCTCCCCGTATTACTAACGAGAGCACCGCAATATACGTCCACATTCCTGCTTTGATTGATATGGTACTTTATAAAATGAAGAGAATGAAATATGAAATGGCTGTAATATGACAAGAGGCAAAAAGGGCTAGGCATTGGGTTTGTTTTGCCAAATTTTCAGAAAAAATATTAACAAAAAGATGGATGTGCCACTGCCCCAGGGACCAAAATAAGTAGTTGCTGTCTTTACGCCATAAGGAATAAATATGCAAAGTTCCAAGACGATCCATTCAGAATTGCAGCCTGTAGACGATAATTACAAAAATTGGGCTAGGCTCTGCCCCTGGGGGTTGGATATGGAACAATATAAATAGGCACCGCCCTGTTATTGAAATGATTGATATGCTCAATTTGAACAAAATCTGTTAATTATTGCAACCTTTAGAGTATTTACCGATAAAAACTAACAAAAAAGTGGGTGCGGTACCACAATCCTCGGGGTCGGGACATGCATCAAAATAAATAGTTGCTATCCTTACAGTATAAGGAATATATATGCCAAGATAATCCATGTAGAATGCCAGCCTGTAGACACAAAACACAAAAATTGGGCGTGGCTCTGCCTTCGGGGTTAGACATGGACCAATATATATAGGTACAACCCTATGCTGCAGCATTCCAAATTGGATCCAAATCTGTTAATAATTGCAACTTGTATATCATTTACAGACAAAATATCAACAAAAAGTGGATGTGGTACCGCCGAAAGGACAGAGGGTATGGTGCAGGGGGTTTGGAGGAGGGGGTCGTGGATCAACGTTATAAGGAATAAGTATACCAAGATAATCAATTCAGAATTGTAGCTTTCGGGCGGTAAAGGCAAAAGGTGGGCGTGGCTCTGCCCATGGGGGTCGGGGCATTCACCAAAATCAATAGTTGACGCCCTCAGGCTATAAGGAATACAAATGCCAAGTACAAAGCTGATTAATTCAGAATTGCGGCATGTAAACGACAAACACAAAAATTGGGCGTGGCTCTGTCGGGGGTCGGGACATGCAGTTGTCGTCCTTAGGCTATAAGGAATACATATCACAAGTTCAAAGAAGATCCATTAAGAATCGTTGCCTGTAGGCAACACACACAGACACAAAGAAAAATGGGTATGGCTCTGCCCCTGGGGGTTGGGCAATCACCTAAAAACAATAGGGGGTCATCCTTAAGGTATAAGGAATAGGTATGCAGAGTTTCAAAATGATCTGTTAACAATTGCACAAACAAAGACATACAGGGGGTCGGCCATGCGCCAAAAATAAAGAGGTCAGCCTTAGGGTATAAGGAATAAGTATAAGACGATCGATTAAGAATTGTGGACTGTAGGCGACACACAGACACAGAAAGAGAAAATGGGCGTGGGGGATGGGCATGCACCCCAAACGATAGGGATGTTCCTTAGGGTACAAAGAATAAATATGCAAAGTTTCAAAATGATACGTTAAGAAATGCGGCCTATAGACGACAAACAAATATAAGAAATGGTCGTGGCTCTGTCCCGGGGAGTTGGGCATGCACCAAAAACAATAGGGATCATCCTTAGGGTATAATGAATAAGTATACAAAGTTTGAAGAAAATCGAGTAAGAATTGCGCCCTGTAGGCGACTTACATTCATACATACACACACACACACGCACACAAACAGGGGCGACCGCATAATACGTCCACATGTGGACGTATAACAAGTGACAAAATGAAAAATATTATGAAAAATTCAAGAAATTAAAAAGCCCCAAAGAGCCATCACATTTTAGAAAATTACTCTCTTTGTCGTCTAAAGTATCCTCTCATCAACAAACACCCACTATTACAATGATATTATTGAAGCGTGGGAAGGTCCCCAATCCAAGTTTTATAATTACGGGATTATCGAGTTTGAATTGTTTACTAGTGGGTATTATCTGCACATACAGTTAGTTGGGTGAGTAATACTTACCGGTAAAGACGGAATAAAGTCATCTACTTAATAATCAGGTTGTTGTTTATTACAAATTTAACGTCCAATACATTTTACATGACATTATGGACAGGTTGATTTAATTAAGGTATTTACATAAAAAAAACATGCCTATAATAAAAATAAAAATAAAAAAACATGCCTATAATAAAAATAAAAATAAAAAAAACACCTATAATTAAAGTGTCCTTGCTTTAAAGATGCATTCTGTAAGATTTAGATAAAGAGCTGCAGTTCTCGCTATAATACTTCAAAAATAGATAATGTAAAATGAATATATTGAAAGTTTCATTCAAATTACTTAATTCTGAGTGAAGTTATCACTGTTTCAAGTTTTGACAAGATGTGGCATTTATTGTTTATTATAGTAACAACGGTACATGTTATTCGAGACTTAGCCTCGATTCACCGTTTTCAAATTAAATCATTAAAGGCTACCGTGGTTTAATCCGTTTACTTCTCCACCACCCGATAGCCTAAAGAGTTGATTATAGGCTTTCCATGTGAGTAAAAGTCTGAATAATATTTTATATAACTTTTTAAGCCAGAATAAAGACAGGTAATAGGCCGATTTAGCTCTTACAGCATGCATCTTTAAGAGGTCCTTAAGACCTTAAAGAGTAAATAAGGGGACGTTACTTTTAAAAAAATGAAATCAGGTCTGATCACACATTTGAAAGCCAATTTACAACAAAGATAACTAATACTTAGGTATTTACATTAAAACAATCAATGAACTACGTACCAAATATAAAATTGATTGCGTGACTTGTCCTGAATCAGTTTTCGTATACGTTCTAATAATTTAGATCCGATTAAAGTACGGCTACGTTGTTCGACTATGCATAAATTAAAATAATCTATTAATAATAAAATCCAGTACTTTTATAAGGTACTGATATGTGACGTATATATAGTACGCGAGGGTCAAATTCCATGGGCTATTGTTACACCTCAACAACAGAGGTTGTTATTTAAAAGGTTTTCTATAAAGGCGAAACATTATAATTCTACGTGATATTCCACTCTCTTTTGCGATTGTACAGTAAACCCACCCATTCCACTCGGCATACATGTATATAATTTTCCGCTTTGGTTTACTTAATATAATTAGTATTACAATTTACACCAACACCAAAATATACATCTATGCTTTAGACAGTTAAACTATTTATGTGTGGTTGCTGTTTCAGGACAAATGTTGATTCTTATTCCGTTGAGTCTTGTGTTCTCTCCATGTTCTCATAAAGTGAGTTATCTCCCTTGGTAGCGGCAGTATCTGTAAATGTTATTATAAAAAGCCTATTAAAGATAGAACCACAGTAGCAACCATTCAAATGAATTAACACGTAATATAATAGGTATATTTAGTTTATCTATGCTTAGTTTGGTAATTGTTTGTAATGATATTAACAATCATCGCCACACTTATATTATATTGTGACCAACATGTGTAACACGGCCATTTGTCACACTGTCTGCAAAACGGCACCAAAAATAGATAGCAATGTCCGTCTTCACATTCGATAATTCTCCCCATTACGTTGTTTTTCGAAATGACTTTTTCGCGGACTCATATGTTACAATTTATGTTCTTCTAAATACGTTTTTGTATCGAGCAAGATAAATAGGTACAAGAATCAGTCTAATGAACTAAAAAATACAACGTCCTTCGGCCTCGCTCAACTTCACTCTAGTTAGAGCAGCTAGCGCATGAACAACTTACATCAACAATTCGTAAATAATTATGAACTCTGATGAGACAGAACTACATATTACAAGAATGTATATCTATTTGGCTTTATTATCACAAAAAGCCATTGGAGAAACATCCGAGGCTACGTAAATTTACAACTCACCGGAAGCTTGGTTATCGTATTCTTGTACTCGTTCAGGAGACGAGTCTGGAACCGAGACAACATTAATACTTGTATACTGATTGTCATCTCTGGTATCCAGCTCTAATCCTTCATAATTTGAACTTTCTACAATAAAAGAGGAGAAAAGACACATTTTCATTGACAACCCCACAAAATGACATGTAAATAAAATATCTGCTATGAATTCAAACAGTTTTTTCAACAGTACTAATGTACATGCCTGTTGTTTCTCCCTGTGGGTATTCTCATCTTTGCACAAAATAAAAACAACCCATGACATTTTAATCTACTTATAATGTACATGCTTATTGTACATTCTTATAATCAACCCATCTTAATCCGAGTATACAATATCAACTTTCTAGTAACATGTTGATCAACAATAATTGTATTTCCTTTCTTTCTTTGGCCCGCCTATTGACACACAATTTGTCCCGTAAACATATACACGGCACATCCTAAGCAGCGTGTACTCTATCAACTTCTACGTAACATGTTGACCAAATTGTTGATCAACAAGAATTTTATTTCCATTCTTTCGACAACATGTTGGTCGACATATTGACAAACATTTTACTCTGTACACCTAGAAGTTGATAATGTGTACAGACCTTCAGTTAAGGCGTACCAGGTACTTATGAAATGAAATGGGGTTAAACGTTCTACTGTTCTGCTCCTAATGAGCTAATGAAGACTGCCAGGCGCCATACAGTGTGCTATGAGGGAAATTTTGCCCGGGCCTTATATCGAATTTCAACTGCCAAGGGATCTTTTACGTGTACGCCAATGTGTACACGGGACCTCGGTGTTTCGTCCCATCCGAACGACTAGACAGCTGTCCTTGTCAGACCCTTTGTCCTGCATCACTGACAAGGGGAAACCACGCTGGGAAAATCTGAATTAACTTTCTCGGCCAATGCAGGGATAGAACACCCGACCTCCAGGCTAGCGAGCCAGCGTCTTACCCACTTAGCCACGTGACCCCCCACCCACGTACTTATACAGCACCCCAACCCAATTACAACGGATAATACTTACCGTTAATTATATTATTGGGAGCGGTTACAGGTCTGTAAAATAGAAGATTATTTTTAATGCATAACTCTAAACCAATTCTACCATGAGAAACACAGGACACAAAATCCATCTTAAATGGCGCGCAAATACAAGACATACCAAATAATTTTTTTATATTTGTAAATTATTATTTATAACGACCGAACTTAATTACTGTGTTGTAGTATTACGCTACCATGTGTATTTTGAGAATAAAATATTAATCTGTTTATTAAGTGTGTGTTTTTGCGGGTTCAAGAATGGGACATGTTATTTACTTTGTACTGTGCAGCAGTTACTACTCGATACCTCACCCCTCTTCCTTCTCTTCAGACATACTGAATACAGAACAGATATTTCCAATTTAAAATGTTTGTACATGTATTACATTGCACACCATTACTTCAATGACTATAAAATTATTTAATTATAATTAACGATTTAGATTCAATTTATCATTTTACTCACGTGATTCTGCTTATTGCCTCGGATTCTAAAAAAAAAATTTAAAAAAATTGTTTTATCATTTTCGGGATTAGAATTAGTCACATTATGGCTGTGAATAATACAAAAAACCTTATATAAGATATGTTTAAAGCCTCGTGCACTCCAAGAATTTTATTCTGTCCATTATAAATATATATAAGTAGCAATGAACATCATGGTCCATTATAAATATAAGCATCATGGTCCATTAATTATATACATGTCTGTTGCATTTGTTTTGTTTGTTTTTTCCAGCGTGGCTTCCCCTTATCAGTGGGTTCAGGACGGAGGGCATGACGATGACAGTGTGTAGCCGTTCGGATGGAACAAAATACCCAGGTCCCGTGCACACGTTGGTGCCAACTTAAACGAACCATTGACAGTTGGTATTCGAAATAAGTGGAGGATGTAGCGTAGGGTCCACTTCTGGGAAAATTTTCCCCTTATAACACACTTTATGGTATACGCCCGTCGTCATTAGCTTAGTCACAGAACAGCTGTCTAGTCGTTCGGATGGGTCGAAAAACCCAGGTTCCGTGTACAAATTGGCGTGCACGTAAAAGATTTCTTGGCAGTTGGAATTCAATATAAGAGTAGGCCGTAGCGCCGCTGCCCGGGCAAAATTTTTCTCATAGCACACTGTATGGCGTATGCCCGTCTTCATTAGCTCAGTTTAGGAGCAAAACAGTAGGACGTTAAACCCCATTTCATTTCATTTCATTAACTTAGTCAGGGCAGTCAAGTAGGACGTTAAACTCCATTTCATTTCAATTGTTTGGGGGATAAGATAGGGTTTCCTTTTTAGGCAGCCCAAGGGGGTATATACAAAGTCCACCGTAATTAAACGCCACAATTACCCGTCAACAGTAATCCATATCTCTACAATACGATAAAAGATTAATACAATACGAAGTAATCAAAGGTAGTTAAGTCGATAACCATTTTTACTGGTCAATATGAGATATACGACTAACTGTTGTTAGTTAATTGTATTTTACGGCCGCTTCCACCGAGGTGATATCGCAGACAAATACGACTAACAGGAGAATACAGTTGATAAAACAACACACAAAGCCAAAACCTTACCGTTGGACAGAACCATAAACACAGGCATTATCCACATCTTTAATGTTAGTTGTTGACTTTATAATGGTTAATATCAGATGCTATAAGTTAGTATCCTTACCGTTAGTTTTGGTTGTTGACCTTCTATTGGTTAATATCAGATATGCGACCAGTAAGGAGAGTACAATGGACAATACCATAAACAAAGTCAAACCCACGGCGAGTCCAGTAACAACTCCAGACTTATCTTCGTAAACACATGGAATAACATAAACCATTACAGGTGATGATATACCTGTCCCAATACCATTGTTACCCGTACAAGTATAGTTACCAATGTCGTGCGACGATGTTGAATCCACTTTAAATATATCTGATGTTTGATCTGTCAGCTTTATACCATTTCTACTCCAAGTATAACCATGTGGTGGTACTCGAGGGTTGGTGTCTTGCACGGAACATGTCAATAAGAGTTGTCCCCCTTCAGCAATGACTGTGAAAGTTTTTTCAGCAATAGTTATGGAAGTTGCTTCTGTTACAATGTGGATTGTTGGTTGATCTATAAAAAAAAGATGAAAACAAGAGTTGAAAATCCTAAAATAAAAGCATCACCCCTAACCTGAAAACATGAGCATATAAAAATACAATCATAAAGGTTATTATCAAATATTAGTTTGATATCCAACATGTCCACAACACGTGTGATTATATCAAATACACCTGCAGGAGGGTAATGATCTAGACCAATCAATATTGTATATACATTAAACGCACGTGTTAACCCATGGGACCACCAAGAAATATAAAGAGTCGTTTCTATATAAACGTTCACGGTTTAAATTTTAGCCAAAGTTGCGTTTTGTCTGTTTACAATGTCTTATTTCAGAATAAAAATTATCTATCCGTGTTTCTAAATTCAATCTCCTTCTAAAGTTTATACTAAAGTTCCAAATAAGATTTAAACGATGACACTAGCAGATCTGACAAATTTGAAGATATATTTGGCCATAGTGCCTTTGCTCAGAATAATTCATAGATTTTCCACTTTTTCACCTAAAAATACCTTTACCACAAATTATATATTTATTGATATTTTAGTATGTTGTTGATGTTAATACATTCATGTCCCTATAAATAATCGCCTTTCTCTCACAATTCATAGATTTTAAAGATATATCGGTAAAACAACTAAAACAGGGTTGTTGTTTTGTTTTGTTTGGTTTGGGTTTGTTTTTTTTTGGGGGGGGGGGTACAATTTTCTTTTAAAACCATCCCAAAACTACCTTTTTTTTACAAATTATTTTTTTCTTATATTTTTAGTATGTTGTTAATACAAGTCCATGCTCCAATAAAAATTAAGCTTTCTCTCACAATTCATAAAATAGCGAATTTTCCGTTTTTTCCACTTTTTGGCGATTTTCTCTTAAAAACATCTCAAAAATACCTTTTCCACAAATTGTATTATTGTATATATGTTTAGTATGTTGATAATACAACACCATACTCCAATTTGCACTAACAAAAAAGCTTGTGTTGCAATAAGTTGCAAGTTGAGCAATTTCAATGCTAGATTGACTAGGCTATAGGCAAAGATAGTCACTTTTAGATTTTAAACTTACACGTTACGTCAAGTTTGAGAAAATCCGTTTGAGCTTCGCCATAACCATTAAAAGCCGAACAATAAAGAGTGTGATTATTCAGATGTTTGTCCAGTGTTAGTCTTAGTCTGCTTGTTGATACTCCATCCTCAATATCCGTTGTTATATCTTCATATAGCCTATTATCTGCAGTGTCTATGTACCACGTGATGTTGGTTGTAGGGTACGTCACTTCCGTCTTACATGTTATATCTTTGGGCTGACCAGCAATAAATCTTGGATTTTCTGGACGAATTAATGTCAAGTTTCCAGTAAGTTCTAAAACAATAAAAATCACAAAAACAAACAAACAAACAAAATACTTGATATTGAAAAGGTTGATTCAGATAATTTTCTCGACGAATTAGTGTCAAGTTTCTAGTTAGTTCTAAACGATAAAAATCTCAAAAACAAAAACACCAAAAAAACAAATATTTAATATTGCAAACGTTAAATTCCGTAATTTCGGTTGTTTTATTGGATGTAGTTTTCCAAAAAAAAAATAAAAAATTATTCCACCGCCCCCACCTTCCTCCCTGACACCGGATAGAAATCCCCACCACCTCAAAAAATATTAAATATTACAATCAAAATCTGATAAAAAAAAATTATTTGATCCGTTGGGAGTTTTTCATCACTTGATGAAGGCGATTTCACTATTCACATGAAATATCAATGAAACTGAATTTAAACAATGATTTACCCACTAATACCTCATTCAAATGACCACCAGGAGTGGTTGGGGTATAATATTGATAATATCATTACCTTTAACATCTAACTTGATCTCGGCATGACCCAGGTCATATCTTCTTTCGTCACATATCCAAGTCCCACTATCTCTTGATTTCGATACGTTTTGTATATAAATACTAGATGTTTTGTTTACAAGGTTAACCGTGGTGTTATAATAAGAAGGATACTCTTTACAATCAGTATAATGACATATCGCGACTCTCGTACCGTTTCTATACCATATGATAAATCTAAACCAAGATGAATTAGAAGTACATGTAAGTGTCACTGGTTCGCCCTCCACCACATCAGATGGTTCCACTGTAATCTCTATTAAACCTGTAAAACTCAAACCAATGAAACTTACATTATACATATATAAACTAAGGATATTATTGCTTATTAGGGTTTTATACTGAATAATAGTGGATTGATGAGGCCCACTCAAGACTAAGCTATGGCGGCATATTAAATTTAAACATCTTAATTTGTTTATGTCTCATAATTTTTATTCTTGTAATTTCTAAATTGATAAATTGGGCGAGGTCAGAACAAAAAGTTAGTATTAGCGTTAGAGTTTGTGTCAATAAAAGACTTAACCCAAACTCCTTAATCTGATGTTCGGGTTTAGCAAAAAGATTACACTTTAAAATTGAAACTCATGGTAATATTCCATAAGTAGTATATACTATCTACCTTTGAGTTCATCAATTTATTAGTAGATAATTATATGATTCATGTGAGGCCAGCAGTTAGAACTCATTTTTTTTATTTTATAATTTACCTCAAAACTTAATGCTAACTCACTGTTATCACCTCAACCAAATTTGTAACATTCTTTTAATTACGTGAGTGAAGTGTTTTCCTAATCTCCGCTCAATTAAACATACATTATGCAAGAACTAAATCTGTCTATTGCAGGTCTTTTTTTTAGGCCTGAAATGTTATCTAAATTATTAATTAGACATTATTTCACTAACCCAGGTTATAATCAACTCTAGATGGCATCGCTAGCCTGCGATCTTTAGTGGATTATGAGCCGAATTACTGCATAACTTTCCTTCGCGATTTAACGATTAAATGGATAATCGAGACTAAGCTATTTGTCGTACTGACTTTAGTAATGATGATCTAGGCTAGCCGGAAATTTCAACCGCTTAGTTCTCGGTTCATAGTGGATCAATTTGAATAAAATTTTAACCAAATTGCCTTTACATTATCTACTTTTTAACTATTTTACTGAGAACTGCCAACTTGTTATCGAATCTCCAATAATGTATCTTTAAGGTTTCTTATTTCTTAACATGGGCTCCATGTTTGAATTTATTTCGGTTAACACTAGTGTTGTCTTTGAGACTCTACCTTTTATCCACAGTTGAATGAAATGACTGAAAATGAAGCTGTAATTAACTCCCTTTTTGACTTTACACTTTATTTGAGATCAAACGGTAGTAAAGGAGTTATACTAGTATTACATTAAGTCATAAATATTTACTCCAACACTGCTTTTGACCTTACCCAATGTATAATGTAACAGTGTAATTGGCCTTCCAGTCCTGCTATTTTCATTTCATTTTATGTTATTCTATTTTATTGTAAAATAACAATAGTAGATTCATAATTTGCTCGATGCTCATGCTAATTATGTAAAGCTTCAATGAATAGAACTGTTTTCATTTTTATAACAGAAATAGCATAAACTAGAATACAATTGCAAAATTTACGCTGAACGAATACGAAAGTTGATTCATACATGGTCTTAATTTAGGATTGCACGAAAAAAAAGTTTAACCTGACATTAAGAAATTTAGAATTTTGAATGTAATATACCGCCATATCTACCCCCCCCACCCCCACCCACGTGTATATTCGATGAAATGTCGTGTATATTCGTTACTACTTTAGGGTTTTCTTGGACCGGCAGTACGTATTGAAATATAAGTGCTAATGATACCGTACTTGAATGACAAGTAAACATCTCCCATCATGCCTATAGCTACCCGACTGACTATATGACTGAATGTATGGCAACCATACAACCTTCCCCTAAAGAACTGTTACATACCTTTACTGATGGAACGGACAGAAAGACAGAATACCACCAATATCATCAACGTGTTCTCCATGTTGAAGAGTGAATAATGCAGTGTGTTTTTCAAAATATTCACGACAAAAGGGAAAGGGAAGTAAAATCTAGACTATAATTATTTTATGATATCATATTGAAACTTAATAATGTATATCTATATCCATACACGTAGCCTATACGACAGTGCAGGAATACATATTAGGGACTAAGGCTAACATCACACGAAGAAACAATGCTTAACTCTAACCTTAAAGCTAAAATTTGAATTTATATATCTCATTTAATCTTCACATTTTGCACGCCTCCTGTTTGACGTATTTATATACCTCATCTTGTTTCTCTTCTGTCCATTTTTAAGTTTTGATATTCTTTATAAAGACAGAATACAGAATAACATCAAACTAAAATACATTATAGCAAAGGTTTGACTTATTAATATATTCCATGTTCGGCCAGCAAAAGTGGATGATATAATAAAGAGTTAAAGATGGGTTCCCAGAAAAGTATTTATCGGGTGGTTATTTCCAATAAAAGTATGGCAATTTTGGTATATATGGAAAGTAAGATATCCAATCTTACTAGAAAAATACTGGATTCCCCGAAAAACACTCATGGAGCGTATACAGGACAAAAATGTAAGGGTTCCCCTAATCAGCCCGACGATTAGGAACTTATGCAATAATGTCAAAGGTCACAAGCGAACATTGAGCGCTTGATGTACAAGTTGATAAACTTTATGCAGAGTTAGACGTACAATACTTTCTGAGATAAAAATGGCGGAAAAAGACGCGGGTAGTGGATAATCCGAGAATTTAATTAGGATTCGATATTTGTAATAAATAGTAAGCGATTAAAGACAACATCGTCTTATATATGCAATGAATTCTCCTCTGACTCCCAAGACGTGACGTAAACATTACCTGGTTTGATCGAATTTTAATAGCAGGACATTCCTTCGCAATTACAATGTTTGAGAAGGATTTGAAGCATAATTATGACAAATTAATTAGTTTGAATATGTTTTTGGTCCATATATACCATTAAATCACCCAGTTTGTACGCAGGAACCTATCTTTAAATAGTACAGTATTCGACTAGGAATGGTGGATGGTATTTTAACGATAAGGTTCGAGACTGGTAATTCTCTCCCCATTAAACATTCGGATAATCTTAATCTTTATAACCACACCAAATATCCCACTACGTCACAATAATCTGATAACTGTCTCAAGATTTGTGTATTTATAGGACGTGATGTCAATGTCTTTACTTTTTGATCCTAGACAAAATGGAGCACGACAAATACAACTGTAGGGAAAGTTGGAAGAGCGGCGGTAATTGCTATAAATATCTTAACTACATCCAATAATTGCAATATATTAACAGTCTTATCTTGAATTTAGTAGTCTCAGCCATTACCGTCAACACCACAGTACAAAAATGCATTGTTAAAACGTACAAAATGACATCCTCTTGTCCATTGATAATCAAAGCTGTGTGTTATTACTGATTTTAAATCTTTGAGCAGCATTTGATACTGTTGACCACAAGGTGCTGCTCTTGTGTCTTGGTGTAATGGGTTTAGCTCTTAATAAACTTAAATAGTAGTTAACCGTTCCTGTCACTTTGGACAAGAAGCATTCCGACAAAACAGATCTGGCCTCGAGTTCACAAAGCATTTTCAGACTTAAATTAAGAATTTACTCAAAATTGGTTGCCTTATTTTAACTAAAATATAGAGCTTTATAAAACTTTTTTTGTTTTAATGTATCAAATACATCAATAAGAAACTATGTGCAAAGCCTTGTGTTTCTAGACCAAAGATATTTCTCATAAACAGTGATTGAAAGTTGAGTAAATTCCTAACTTAAGTCTGAGAATGCTGTGTGAACTCGGAACCTGACCTTCGGTGTGCCCCAGGGTCCTGTTTTAGGCCAAATTTAGTTTCGCATATACACTACACCGTTGTCTAAATATATTTTGAGAAACATGGTTGTGCAGTTCAAACTTTACGCAGATGAGAGAGTTCAATATATAAAATTGAAAAGTGTATTATAGAGATTCGTACATGGATGGGAATCTATTTCCTCAAACTGAACGACGAAAAGACTGGATATATTCTCTTTGAATCAAGCAGTTTAGTTTGCAAACTTGATCACGGTGTTTCACTTTTAGTTGGTGAACATCCAATAATATCCACATCTTCAGTCTGTAAAAGTGATGTTATCTTTGACAGTGAACTATCTATGGATGAACAAATTGCATTAGCAATATTTGAAGACCCTGCTATTTTCAACTGATGAATACATGTATTACATGTAGTAAAATTAGTAAACATTTGCCAGTTGAGTCACATCACGATTAGATCAATGCTAAAAACCGGAAGTAAATATAGTGACCATATCAACACCACCTTTAATCCACCTTCACTGGTCAATAATTGATTTTATAATTCAATACCAGGTCATTCGTTTTATTTATAAATGTTTAAATCATATGGCACCGTTATATTTATCATCTTGTTTAGATATGTATAAACCTATTCATACATTGAGTGATTATAATTCACCTGTCTGCAAAACGGCTAGACTGAAAACTAACGGTGCTTGATCGTTTACAATACAGGCCCATCAATTGTAGAATGAACTCTCATGTCTAGTATTCCAATTCCTTGATACCTGTAGCTATTTTTGTATTTTGTTGTTTAGTTTTTAGCTGTTATTTTCTTTGTGAATATAATATGTGTTCTACTCAATGTAATATCGTATAGCCTATCTGTATGATGTTATACACTGTGATTGTAATATGTGAACTATGTACTATGCCGTTATTGATTATTTTTAAAATAAAGATTTTTGAAAAAAAAAAATGAACTCCCATTTGTCCTCAAAAGTTCGACCTGTTTATCTTGTTTCAAATCACAATTGATAACTCTCGGAAATTCTAAACTTCGGATTAGGCTAGCATGATGATCAAGCCTAATTCCTAATGAAATCTTCAATAAAAATACAACTATTAATATATAATATTATTATATAGGTACTTCTTAAACCATGGTTATAAAATGCAGAAAAACTGCGAATGTATCTGATATGGAGTTTGAAGAAATGCACTTTCATATCAAAGAGGCATTGTAAAAGAGCTAAATCTGCCTATTGCAGATCTTTCTTTTTGTCATAAATGCTATATCTATCTTCTATACTAATATTTGTGACTGTCGTTTGTCTGTCTGTTTGTTTGTCTGTCTGTTCGGGGTTGGCGGCTACACTAGGTCTGTCCCGAGTCTGAAATTTGGGGTATACGGGTAGCTCGGACCGGAGAGTAACATAGGCCAGGTGGCGTTAGTCTACCACTTCCGGTTTCGGGGTTATGACCCCGAGCGAAGCCGGGCATTCTGCTATATAAATAATTAATCCTCTAGAACATCGGATGTCCTCGATTTTGAATGGACTGAAACACGTTCTCAATTTAATCATTTAATTTAGAAATGGACAATCGAGACTTTGTTTATTATCGCAACAACCGGGTTACAATGAGACTACGCCATTCTTCAAACAGTCACAACGTCGCTCAGAATAAAGTAATTTGACTGAAATGTTCAAAATATTGATTTTTCATTATCGTTTTTAAAACTTTTAAAGCGAGAACTGTCCGCTCTATATCTAAATCTTGCTTAATGCATCTTTAACACACCACTAACCAACAAACACATTTCTATTGCAAGAATACATTGTATTTATTTTGTAAGAATGGTTCGGAAACAGCTCAGAAAATAATCGAAATACAGAATACTAAAATAACAAAATATGCTATAGACCTATATTGGTCTCTGAAATTAAAGATTGTATGAATATTGGTCTCTGAAATTAAAGATTGTATGAATATGAAATAAAACCATTGGATATAATATGTATATTATAGTGACAATACAGAACAGTAAGTCTAGGAGGTCAACAAAGAAAATTGGTTATAGGCGCAGTACTTCAATTTCACATCCGTTAGACTGAATCATAGGTTATGTCGACTCTAGGTCGACAATTGAATTTTGGGAAGTGAATCAGCCTAGTTTTTCTTTCAGAACACTAATTTTATAAGAATCACTAAAATTTGTCCTCTGTTAATTTGTTTCTCGATCGGTAATTTAGCTCTCACATGAAGTATGTGTTAAAGATACATTATGTTATAGCTAAATCTGCCTATTGCAGGTCTTTGTTTTTAGCTTCAAATGTTACATACACTAAATTTAGACATTTATTAAAAGAGAGAGCGAGAGAAATGGGGTTTAACGTCCACTCGACACAAACTAGGTCATTTCGGGACTAACATATGGTTTAATGTTATTTACATAATTCGCTTGCGCGTAGGGGTCTTTAGCAGTGGGAGGAAACCGGAGGACCATGTTTAAATTAAATAAAAATATGGCTGAACCGTTTTGATCTATTTAATATCGAAGAAATCCGATGCCACCGAGGGTTAATTATGGTCTGGATCTGTTAATTAATATCTAATTAATAATTTAGAAAATATTTCAGGCCTAAAGAAAGACCTGCAATAGGCATATTTAGCTCTTGCATCATGTATGTTTAACATGACAAACCCATGATCAGCTCTCTAGAACATTGGATGGCTGAGATTAAAACTTTAATGATAAAATGGATAATCGAGACCTAGTCCCGTTTGTCCAGTATCGTTGCAACCTTCATAAAGAATCGGTACTACATATTCCAACACTCATACCTTGGCTCAGAATAAAGTAATTTGAATTTGAACTATTATATCAAGAACAGACAACTCTTTATCTAAATCGTACACCTTTAATGATTGTATGAGTTAATGATAATAATTTGTCCTTGGTGAGAATCGGATATAAATCGTTCAAATCTTATTTCGTTGATGTTTATGCCCCATATGAGGTCAATGTATTTGATAAAAGATGAGTGTCTAAAGAAAATGAATTGAAAAGGGGTTTAACGTCCTACTGTTCTGCTCCGAACTGGGCTAATGAAGACGGGCATAAGCCATACCGTGAGCTATAAAGGAAATTTTGCCCGGACAGCCGACTCTTATATCGAATTCCAACTGTCAAGGGATCTTTTACGTGCA